GGGGGGGGGGGGGAATTTTCGACCATCTGCAGATTTTTTTTTTTTTTAAAGAAGGCGTGGTAAAAATCTTGGCTCAGCTCACCCCAGGCGCCAATAACCCTTGCAACTGCGTGCATCTGCTTAAGACACTAATTTCGCTATTAATGTTGCTTGGACCTTTGTTGTGAAACGGTTTTAATTTTAGATGACGAATAAGTTAACTTGGGGCCCTATGACTAAAGGAATATAGCGGTACACATATTTTTGGATATAATATGAGTGGACGTGTTCCAGTGCTGGTAATAATTGAACGAATCCCTGTCTCTTTGTATCATATTGATGCGCCTACCATAAACTCTGTACGTTTCCAGCTCTTGTGGGAAGTATACTGCGGAACACCATTGCATCATCTCGCGGCCCTGCCACAGGACACCCATTGCATTATATCGTGGCACTGACACGGATCACCATTGCATCATCTCGCGGCTTGTGTTTGTGTGTGTGTGTGTGTTCTCGGGATAGAGGAATTAAAATTAAGACAAATCAATTCGTGTATGGTTTGGTTAGTTTTTTAATTAAAGAAAAGGGCTTGAATTTGTGTTTTCTATATTGCATCTTCAGCTGCATATAGCGTGATTTGGCAGCCCCGACAAGGTGATTATTGCCCCCCTCCCCAAGGGCAAGGCAAGTGTGGGTCACCCATGATCCGTGTACCGCCAATAGCCAGAGTCCCTTCCACCTGCCCAGCATCACCCATCACTCAAGAAGATAGATTGTATTTTAACAAGTGTTGATGCATTTCAATTAATAAAATATAATTTTTGGCGTCCCTCAAAATCCTGCAACTTGGGCAACAGCAATCTGGTACCTTCAGGCAACAACCGTCTGAGACCCCTAAGCAACAACCATCTGACATCCCAGGCAACAGTCATCTAGCACCCACAGGCAACAGCCGTCTGGCACCCCAGGCATCAGCCTTCTGATTGTGGTGAAATGAATTTGATTGGTGTTTCGAGGCAACCCTCGCATGAGTGTCACATGGGTTTTATATTAAATCAAATTTTAAATCGCATCATAGGCAACAGTCATCTGGCACCCACAGGCAACAGTCATCTAACACCCTAGGAAACAGTCATCTAGCACCCCAGGCAACAGTCATCTGGCACCCACAGGCAACAGTCATCTGGCACCCCAGGCAACAGTCATCTGGCACCCACAGGCAACAGTCATCTGGCACCCCAGGCAACAGTCATCTGGCACCCCAGGCAATAGTTATCTGGCACCCCAGGCAACAGTCATCTGAAACCCACAGGCAACAGTCATCTAGCACCCCAGGCAACAGTCATCTGGCACCCACAGGCAACAGTCATCTGGCACCCCAGGCAACAGTCATCTGGCACCCCAGGCAACAGTCATCTGGCACCCCAGGCAACAGTCATCTGGCACCCCAGGCAATAGTCATCTGGCACCCCAGGCAACAGTCATCTGAAACCCACAGGCAACAGTCATCTAGCACCCCAGGCAACAGTCATCTGGCACCCACAGGCAACAGTCATCTGGCACCCCAGGCAACAGTCATCTGGCACCCCAGACAACAGCCATCTCGCATTCAAGGCAACAGTCATCTGGAACCCCCAGGCCACAGTCATGTGGCACCCCAAAGCAACAGTTATCTGCCACCCCCAGTCAAGTGCCCCTTACCTGGAGCAAAGTGTGAACAGCAATAAAACGAAAATATATTTTTATTTAAATAAAAGACACAATTTTCATTTTCTAAAACAACTGGTGTCAACCGATTGCACTTAGTGGAACCTATGAAATATCGTTACGCTCGATATATTTTATGATCCGTATATTTAAGTTTAATCTTTTTAGAAGCTTATACCATTCGAAATCTAAATATCTTAAAGTTTCGAAAAACAGCTGGTCCCGATTATAAGCCGAAGTCTTACTTCCTGTTGTTCGATATAAAATGATTTTTAAAAAAGTGGGGTTAAACCTGAAAAAAGGAACGCAACCAAAAAACGAAACAACAAACTACCTTAACCTCTTTCCTGTTGTTCGCATACATCAATATATTTTTTTTTTGGAACCTCACAAGTTTAAACACATTAAAACACGGTATTAAACTACCTTTGCATTAGTATCAAGGTCTATAATTTAATAAAGTCCTTTTTAAGTATACAAAATTTGCAATCAGTTTTCAAATTGTATTTCATTTGCATTAAAAAGTCTTAAAGGATGTCTTTTAAACTAGTTATAGATGGTAATTAAAAATTGTATGATGGCATAATGCTTTAAAAAAAAATGTTATTATTTAATAATTTTAAATTTACTCGACTCCATGTATGTTGAGCTAGATAAAATTTAAAAATTGATATTTCTTTCTTTTTTTTTTTAAATTTAAAATTCAGAATTTAACGGGCGCATACAAAAAGTGCATGTTTCATCAATTATTAAATCTAAAGCGTTTGTTTTTTCTTTAAATGTGCTAAATTTGTAAGAATTTTTTTCCAAATAACAGAGTTAAAACTTCTTAGTCCATGTTAAAATTTATTAAACTGATTTTCTCTTTTTCTCTTTTTTCATATCAGAATAGTAAAAAATCTGCCCCATCTATTTACACACACTTAAAAAAAAAAAAAAAAAGTATTATTTTTTTTGGTGAGAATCCAGTAGAGAGTTAAAAAAAAACAATTTTATGTGAAATGAAATTTTAATTATTATGCTGAATACATTTTTGGTAATAATTATTTTAGAAATAATTCTTCTTCCTCAAATTAACACTTTAAAAATAAATTTTAACAATACATTTTATGGATTTGAAAAAAAAAAAAATGTTTAAGTATATGGAAGAGGCAATTTGTAATTCATCTGCAGATAGTTATAAAAGTTTAAAATTCCAAATAATAATTACGATCAACTGAATTTTTATTCAATTTCCTTCAGATAAATCACTTAACAATAAATATATGTGACGTCATTTGTAAACAGTGAAACATCTCATGTCTTCTTAATATAGTTATGCATCTCATATACCATTTATAAAAATTACCAGTTCTGAAAACCCATACAAATGTGCAGACCTTTTTACAAAACATTTTTTTACCCTTTGACTTGTTAAAACTTGGTATTATTTAGAGAATTCAATTATTAAAAGAGGCGTTTTGCTTTTGGGAACCAGCTTATAATTCTTGAGGAATAATCCCAGACCTTGTGGATTTCGTTCTGCGAAGCCCTCACCATCGTCACACTGTGACGGATGGATGCCCGCAAAAAAAAATTAAAAAAAATTCGGCACTGCTTGTAATAGGGGAGGGTGCAGCAAACTTATTGGATGGATTTTTGACTTGTCAGTTGGGGATGGTGCCATGAAGTCAAGCAACAAAACTGGTCAAATACAACTAAAAAAATAAGAAATAACGCGCCAATGCAACAATAAGATGATTAGTTGATTTTTATATATAAATTGTTGATTTGCTTTCTTAATGGTTAATATTGTAGATACATTTTTGGTTGAAGAATTCCATAATAATATAGAAATTTTAAATACGGGGCTTGGATCTCTATGATGGGAAGTTGAGATCGCTTCTTCGTGTCTTTATTTCCCACATTTGTAGCTTGTTGTCACTCGTGCATTCTGTCAGAGACAGCTCGACGGAAGTGGCGTTTGCTGTGAGACATTTCCCTGACGGGTAGTGAACCAGGCTCTTGTCCTGTGGAACAGAAACACACGGCTATTACGGCAAAATGTTGAGGTGGCAGTAAATGAAAGGGGAACTTCAATCTAGTGAAATATTTCTTACCTATTTACATTTTGTGAAGTAATTGGGTTAACATTAGCTAGGCAGCAATGGCATTTTGACCCCCAAATGTTCATATCCGACTCCCCCAGCTAAACACTTTCAGTTACGCCACTTACGGTTTGTTTAGTACTTTAATTAGTTGGGGATAGATAGCAAAACTTGAAAAAGCTCGGCGTTCAAGTTTGATCATTGACAGAATCCACCATTTAAATGTATACAAACTTAAGCAAAAGAAAGAAAAAAATGCTTGCATATTTTAACGACTAATTTTCTTTTCAGATATCATGAGATTTAAGACATATTTAATATTAAGCCAAAAATTGCTTAAACATTGTTGACGTAATTAATGGACGGCCCCTATGGCAGATGAAATCGGGAGCTGGGTGGCTGAATGGTCTAAACTGGGTGGCCGAATGGTCTAAACTGGGTGGCCGAATGGTCTAAACTGGGTGGCCGAATGGTCTAAACTGGGTGGCCGAATGGTCTAAACTGGGTGGCCGAATGGTCTAAAATGGGTGGCCGAATGGTCTAAACTGGGTGGCCGAATGGTCTAAACTGGGTGGCCGAATGGTCTAAACTGGGTGGCCGAATGGTCTAAACTGGGTGGCCGAATGGTCTAAACTGGGTGGCCGAATGGTCTAAACTGGGCAAATCTCAAGTTGGTGGTCTGGATTTCCAGGTGGATGGGACTCGCAGCCATGGAAGGCAACTCATCTAAGAGAAGGCCAACTCTGAATTCAAACCAGGAGCCAAAATAATCAATAAATTGGCAGACATTATTTCTCAAATTATTAGTACAACAACTAACCTGCGTATAATGCTACTATCAACCTGCGTATAACGCTACTACCAACCTGCTTATAGTGCCTCTACAAACCTGCTTATAGTGCCACTACCAACATGCTTATAGTGCCACTACAACCTGCGTATAACGCTACAACCAACCTGTTTATAGTGCCTCTACAAACCTGCTTATAGTGCCACTACCAACCTGCTTATAGTGCCACTACCAACCTGCTTATAGTGCCACTACCAGCCTGCTTATAGTGTCACTACCAGCCTGCTTATAGTGCCACTACCATCCTGCGTATAGTGCCACTACCAACCTGCGTATAGTGCCACTGTTCTCCACTACTGCACTTTTGCTTTTCCAGCGTCACGATACCATCAGTGTTGCAGACAAATGCATTTTTGCTAAAGAGTTGTCCTTGACCTTGTAAATACCAGATGTGGGATGTGCTCCCTCCACATGCACGCAGTTTAGGGCCAGTATCTAAATTGCTTCCTCTGTCCACACATTTTTGGAAGGCGCCGCTTCTGATCTAAAGAATATAATCAAAATAATTAGAAAACTTACATAATTTATGTGCTTGATTGTTGGTGCACATAGAGAGGAAATGCCGATAAAATAAGCTGGTAGATATGGTCGATTGGTTGTTGGCGGACAGAGAGAGGAAATGCCGTTAAAATAAGCTGGTAGATATGGTCGATTGGTTGTTGGCGGACAGAGAGAGGAATGCCGTTAAAATAAGTTGGTAGATATGGTCGATTGGTTGTTGGCGGACAGAGAGAGGAATGCCGTTAAAATAAGTTGGTAGATATGGTCGATTGGTTGTTGGCGGACAGAGAGAGGAATGCCGTTAAAATCAGTTGGTAGATATGGTCGATTGGTTGTTGGCGGACAGAGAGAGGAATGCCGCTAAAATAAGTTGGTAGATATCGTCCATTGGTTGTTGACAGACAGAGAGAGGAATGCCGTTAAAATAAGTTGGTAGATAAGGTCGATTGGTTGTTGGTGGACAGAGAGAGGAATGCCGTTAAAATAAGTTGGTAGATATGGTCGATTGGTTGTTGGCGGACAGAGAGAGGAAATGCCGTTAAAATAAGCCGGTAGAGATGGTCGATTGGTTGTTGGCGGACAAAGAGAGGAAATGCCGTTAAAATAAGCTGTTAGATATGGTCGATTGGTTGTTGTCGAACAGAGAGAGGAATGCCGTTAAAATAAGTTGGTAGATATGGTCGATTGGTTGTTGGCGGACAGAGAGAGGAAATGCCGTTAAAATAAGCTGGTAGATATGGTCGATTGGTTGTTGGCGGACAGAGAGAGGAAATGCCGTTAAAATAAGCTGGTAGATATGGTCGATTGGTTGTTGGCGGACATAGAGAGGAAATGCCGTTAAAATAAGCTGGTAGATATGGTCGATTGGTTGTTGGCGGACAGAGAGAGGAAATGCCGTTAAAATAAGCTGGTAGATATGGTCGATTGGTTGTTGGCGGACAGAGAGAGGAAATGCCGTTAAAATAAGCTGGTAGATATGGTCACGAGGATAAGGCGGTAGTTTTAGAGATACATTTCTCGAAACTAATTACAACTAGTGATGTGCCCTTGGACGGATGGTGAGAAAATATCGTTGTTAATCATAAAATATATATTTTTTTTCAAATTTATTTAAATTGAAAAGTGCATGGTATAATGGAATTATCAACCTCGTGTCCCACTTACCTCCCAACTTTCCCTATGACTAAATATATTTTAAAATATTTTATGAAATCTAAAAACTGTCAACTTACCTCCCCTACATATTGAAAACTGTGAGGTAGAAATTTCTCTGGAACGATATTCTTTCTAAACCACTCAAAACTCTGACATTGAAGACTGTCGCGTAAAATCTTTCGATCTGTCACATTGCCAAAGTCCAACTATTTCCGAGTAGGGGGGGGGGGAAATGAAGTAAAGCTGGTTAAGTCATAAAATAACGAAGTAAAGCCGAGTTAGCTAGGCAAGGGAATAAATAATGAAATAAGCCGAGTAAGACATAAAAGAAATTTAAAGTAAATTTTAAAGTTGGGTAAGTCAAATAAAACAAAAATGAAATAAAGCCAGGCAAGTCATTGAATTGATCAAGTAATCAGAACAGGCATAAACTATTTTATATACAAAATCCTAATTAGCCTGTTACCGTACACTTGTACAAAGTTTTACAATTGCGTTGTGGGTGAGCTTGAAGTTGGCGCTCTGCTTTCGTTATTTGTTATAGTATATTATTAAATACTAGAATAAACGACCCGATGTTATCGGGATAATAACGGTAGTGCCATTGCGATAATTTCTGACTGCTAGTGCAAAAACTCATCACAATCCATAACTTAAAAAATATAATGATATTTACGTTTGTAACATCATTAAGTTTTGATAAGTATTTATCTGCTCTATATGACACGCCAACCCTACTCCCTTTTACGCTCCTAAACTACTTTTTTCCCCCTCTAGAGATGACCTTTAATTACTCAGTCTAACTTGTCACTACTTATATCACGCTGGTCACTAAAGAAGTTAATTGAGGGACAATGACTACGCTAGAGAAATACTCTAGATTTCCTTTTTCGTGCCCTTGAATGCAACTTTTTTCTCTCTAAAAATTGTTTTAAAAAACTGATCTTAAATTTACAATTATATATGATATAAACATATTTTGTATTACAGGAATTTGATATAGGTCTATATTGATATCTTCATCAAAAATATAAACATTTTTGCCTTAAAAAAAAAAAATTAGATATAATAAGAAACTCGTAAAACAAAAAAATATTTTATCTAAAGAAAAATCTCGCAATCGTTTTTCACAGATATAACAGATTTGAGTGTCTTTTAAAAACATTTAAATTGTTGATCTCATAAAAAATACACACATCTTTACTTTTTGCAAAGTAAAAACAATTATATTTTCATTTTTTGAAAGTAAATATTAACCCATCTCTGTTTTTCAAAATTAATTTTTCAAGTGTGTAAAATGATTGGGTTTCGATATACATAGGCATACTTGTATAAATGTACCCACTATTGGTTATCACCATTAATTTTCTTAATTGGTAAACATATGTTTATTTGTAAAAAGATAATTTAACATCTCTTTTTTTCACAAATGTAATACCAAAGGTTTTAAATATATTGTCATCCATGTTAGATGTAAACATCTTTTTTTTCCTATCTTCGATATTTATGGAACCAAGACGTTAATTATTTATCAAAGTCATTTCCTTATTTTGAGACATATATAGTATACTGTATTGCCTTAGGCAAACTAAAATTACCCATATTTGTAAACAGAGAATGTAACATCTCTTTTTTTCACAAATATAACACCATAAAAGTTAAAGAGGTTGTCATCCACGTAAAATTATGCACATCTTATTTCTTACCTCTGAAATTAATTTACCCAAGAAAATTAATTATTTATCAAATTAATTCCTTTGTTTTGAGACGTATCTTGTTTTTAGAGAAAAATGAAGTTGTAATTCAAAGGCACGAAGAGGGGTAAATCTAAAGTATTTCTCTAGCGTAGTAATTGTCCCTCAATGTACATCTTTAGTGACAAAAGTGAATTAATGAGTGATGATTCAGACTGGGTAATTTAAGGTTATGTTCAGAGTGGAAAATGTAATTTTAAGAGCGTGAAAGGGAGTAGGGTAGGCGTGTAATATATAGCAGATAAATACTTCTCAAAACCTAATGAAGCTAGAAACGTAAATATCATTATATTTTTTTATTGTTAAAGATTGTGATGAATTTTTGCAATAGCATTTAGAAATTATCGCACAAAACCTACCGTTATTATCCAGACAACAACCGGTCGTTTATTCTAGTATTAGAATGGGCAAAATGAACTTATACATATTTGTAAAAAGAGAATGTAACATCTCTTTTTCACCACATTAAGTTGAGTTAAACCGCATTTTCCCATTCGAATTATATTTAAAGGTTAGTAATTATTACGTAACAATTTTAATAAAAGTATATTTTTTGAATTAAAAAAGGCAACACTTTATATGTTAAAATATACAAAGCTAAATTGTGTGTGTTTTTATAATAATTTAAAAAGAAATCAATGGTATTTATTAAGTTTACTTTAAAAGGGGAAATTACACTATCAGTTTTGTCACGCACGTTCATTAAATTTAAAGAAACCCAAGAGTTTTGGCAAAATAGGTTTTTCGCGCTATGACGTCATTAGCGTCATTATTTAGAACAAATTAATTTTAATTTTTGTTCGCGACATTTACAACGCACTAAAAGACGCACTAAAAATGACTGATGCTTGGGCTTTCCCGATAAATGTGAATACGGTGTAATTCTTCGATCATGATTTTTTTACTTTTTTATGTTTTCATAACTTTTAAACACATATAAAATGCTTAAAATAGTTCCTTAGTTGATACTTTAAATGTATTTGTAATTTATAAAAATAATACTTAAACGTTTACTAAAATAAAAGCGGATTAAAAATATTTTTTGCGCATTTAAATTTATTCGATTTCCGTAAAGTAATAGAAAATAACTATGATTGTTTTTAGGAATCCGAATGTACTTAAATCATATCTCCCTTTAAGCGTTATGTGACTCTAGCTCATTCTTACATATATTGAAAACATCGTTCACTTTCTTCTGGTATTTTATCGTTTTCAGCCATTTCTTCTGTTACTTGCAATTTCGAAACACCAAACATTAATACCGTGGATTCGTTTAAGAAATTTAAAATGGTTATAAATATATTTTTAGTCACGGATATCATTGATATTACGCAGGCCAGGGCTCTAATATTGACATTTCGCACTAAATTAAATCTAAGACAGGCCAAGACTCTAAAACTGATGTTACGCACCAATTTATATCTAAGACAGGCCAAGGCTGTAATATTAACATTACGCACCAATTTATATCTAAGACAGGCCAAGGCTGTAATATTAACATTACGCACCAATTTATATCTAAGACTGGCCAAGGCCCTAGCACTGAAATGAAGCACCAAGTGGAGGTGACTGGTGACCTACTGATCATAAAGTGGTGCATTGTTATCGCGGGGGAGGGGGCGAGTAATGGTACAAAGTTTCAGTTCAATGGGACACCATGAAGAGGTTCAAAATTGAGATGTAAGATTCCGCGAAAAACAAATTGTCAAAGCAAGCAAATAAAAAGCGTATAATAGATGGACATGTTTTTCGATTACATTGTAGATAGTTATTTTAATACATAATTAAATACATACTTTATCCAAGACAACATTTTATTATTATTGTTACATTATAATAATTTAACCCAAGACATTGTTACGCACAGGCTTCTAATATGAGAAATTAATCTCCTATTTTAATTTTATTGGCTCGTTGTAAACAGTGCCTAACAAAGGACGATACCATAGAGTCAACAATATTAAAGATACGACACCCAAAACAGTTGCCAGTTACAATTAATTAAGATTTATTAAGTATTAATACAATAACAACAAAAAAAAAGAAATATAATTATAAATCATCAATTTACAGTATTGTATATCTTGTACCGGTACACAGTTAATACAATGTGCCAATTAATAATGATGAATGCGAAATAAACACATAAATACACAAATTCACAATACACGTCTCGTGAAGTTAATAATTATCTATCTGAATCTCCGTCTCTCCGTCCGTGCCTGTCAATCCCTTATATAGGTCACATAAGCGATGTCTTCCAGAAAAGACTTATGACATGTTTTTATTTCTCGGGTTATCGAGCACATTCGAGAAAATACCAGGAAGACAGTCTAACATGTTTAATTGGTAAACACGGTTGTAAACAAGATACATCAAACGAATAGGCCACGCCGACAACAGACGTTACTGTCTGCAAGGATTATAATTTAGGTCAAGTAAAGTTCACGCACAGAAAAAGTGTGCTAGATAACAACATCTAAAGTATTTCTCTGGCATAGAAATCAGGCCCTCAACGAACTCCTTTAGTGACAATAATGACTTAATTCGTGATCATTTAGACTTGGCAATACTCTCTTAGATATATTTGCTTCTGGTGTGTCCTGCTTCCTTTTCTGAACCGCCCCCACTCCTCTAACCCCACATGTGTTATATAAATAGTACTGAGTGAAAAAGGCTGTCATGGGTGACGTGTGAACTCAGGTTGAAAAAAAATCTTTAGGGGGAAGCGACTATTATATTACTAAATAAAGAGCCACGTGTATGGTGTACGACTGTCTGTAGGACTATCTGTAGGACTGTCTGTAGTAATGTCTGAAGCATGGTCTATAGCACTATCTGTAGGACTGTCTGTAGGAATGTCTGTAGGGCTGTCTGTAGGGCTGTCTGTCGGTCTGTCTGTCGGGCTGTCTGTCGGGCTGTCTGTCGGGCTGTCTGTCGGGCTGTCTGTCGGGCTGTCTGTCGGGCTGTCTGTCGGGCTGTCTGTCGGGCTGACTGTAGGGCTGTCTGTCGGGCTGTCTGTCGGGCTGTCTGTTGGGCTGTCTGTAAGGCTGTCTGTAAGGCTGTCTGTAGAACTGTCTGTAGGACTGTTTGTAGGACTGTCTGTAGGACTGTCTGTAGGACTGTCTGTAGGACTGTCTGTAGGACTGTCTGTAGGACTATCTGTAGAACTGTCTGTAGGACTGTTTGTAGGACTGTCTGTAGGAATGTCTGTAGGCCTGTTGTTTAAAGGCCGACAGATAGGGCGTAGCACTGTCAGTAGGCCTATTTCTCAAAATATCCGGACTCAGTGTAAAAAAAAAACAACAACAGCACCCGGCTAAGCCCTAGTATTGATTATTACGCACCAAGCTTTAGCCAACATTGAATGACTTATTGCACCCCAAATTAAAGAAGGATATAATGAGATCATACGCACCAAGTTGTAGTTGAGACTCTCGTAAAAATAATTTTTGTAGTCATCCATCCAAACCTCGGCGACTCGAAGAGAATTTCTGATCACATCAGAGTAGTTGCCCCTTACAGGTGGGTATGTGCGGAAAACGTGACCAACATGCGAGCAGGTGTCCAGCAACAGCTCGCCCCCACACATCCATGTCTGGACAGGGCAAAGAATACATCAACAGTATTAAGCGATGGATAGTTTGTGTTTTATATTGTGCTCGTTTGTGTTACAGGTATGTGCAAGTTTTCGTTTTTTCTTCTTTTTCTTCGTTTGTGTTAAAAAAATTGAATACATTTCTGTTCCTGTCTGGCTGTGCATGAATGCTTCAATTCATTTTCATTAGTTTTTTTTTCCATATTAATATTCGAAGGCCACATCCGCTTTTACACCGCAGATTTATTTCAACATTTCAGAAAGAAAAACAGAATAAAATTTTACGCACTAAACAACGAGTCCGTGTGCCAATTTTCAGCTCGATAGGTTGAAGGGGAAGTGGGTCAATAAGCCTAGCCCAAAATAAACCCACTAACAAAAGGGAAGTTACTATAAAGGATTTGAAAACAGCACTGTGAAATTGAAAGGGTCCAATGAATAAATAAAACGCTATACAAGCCCCTAGGACTCTTCAGATAGACCAAGGATCACATTCCTGTTATAAGTGAATTGTGATAGAGAGAGATGATTCAAGAGCTTAAATGAATAGGGGCAGTTAAATTGATAGATTTCTGCAGCGATAACGGGATGAAATGGACCGTGTCAAAAATACCTTGAAAGAAATCTCAATGTTTTCACCGCCCCAGTAATTCATTTCCGGGTCATAAGTTCCTATCTTAGTGAAAAACTCACGAGTGATGGCAAACAACCCACCTGGCATGGTCGGTGACCTGTCAATAAAAAAAAAAATAACCAAACAATTAGATTGACATTAACATCATCAACAAATTTACTACATTTTTAAACATGAAACAACTACAAAAAAAAAAAAAAAAAAAAAAAAAAAACTTAAAAATTTTAAAAAAAAAAAAAAAAAAAAAAAAAAAAAAAAAAAAAAACCAAACTCTTTACAATTTTAAAAAAAATTTTTTTTTGGGGGTTGGGGGGGGGAGGCTGAACATTTGATAAACTGTCCTGTCACCGGCATTGAGTCTATGTGCCACGTTTCAGCTCAATAGGTTGACGGGAAGTGGGTTAATTACCCGTCCGAAAATTGTGCAAGTCTGCCACCCGGGTAGCCAGCCACAAACAAAAGCGAAGTTAATACAAAGGGATTTAAAACGGTGATTATTTGGGATGCTATGAACTCTTTGTGAGCGTGCTAGTATTTAAGCCCGAGTGTGGCAAAGATTTCCAGCACTCGTATAATATCTTCATTAAAAATTGTGGGAGACGTTCTTCCACCCCATGCCATCCCGCCTGGTTTGCCATGGTGGTCAGTGCATAGCTGTTTGTCTCCACGGAGGCCAACATTAGGCTCGAGGTCAGGTTCCACTCTCTGCCCGTCTAGGTGTGCGTTGAGTGCTATAACTTTTTTTTACATACTTGACTGATTTTAGTTTAAGTTTAAATCTAATGAAACTGTGCTCTCAACACAGGTAATCTTAATTATACAGCCTGGCATTTCGTTCTGTAAATTTTCGCATGTGGCTGCGGAAGTCCGCAACCCGGGGATGGGGGTAAGTCTCATGCGGACAAGAGGGGCGGGGGTGAAAAAAAATTGCGTATTTCGTGCATGTGTCATTTATGGACAACCCCGTAGCTGCCTGGTCAAGGTTGTAATGTGTTCAACTGGTGAGTTGCGCTATACGTGTTTGAATTAGCGTACGGTCAGATTATACATAACTTGGATTAAAGTGCACGTTGAACTTGTAGGACTTGGGTTTTAATGGGATTACAACGTGTAAACGTGTGGAGGAATTGGAACAGAGGCACTCAATCGTACCGACTCATCAGGCGTGTAAAACACCAGCTACAGCTGTGCAAATTGAAAAGGCTAAGTGAAACAGGGGCCTGGCCATCTTCGAAAAAGAATGTATTCCTTATGTATATTTTACTTCAAGATTCAGGAAACACCACTAAAAATTAGTCTGACCTGTATGGATGAGTTTTGTCCACTGACCTGTATGGATGAGATTTTTCTACTGACCTACATGGTTGAGATGTGTCCACTGACCTGCAAGGATGATACTTATTCACTGACCTGATAGATGAGACTTTTCGACTGACCTGTATTGATTAGACTTGTGCATTTACCTATATGGATGAGACTTGATCACTGACCTATATTGATGAAATTTATTCACTGACCTGTACGTTTGAGATTCATCCACTGACCTGTATTGTTGAGACTTATCCACTGACCGTTACAGATGAGGCTTGTCTACTGACCTGTACGTTTGAGATTGCTCCTGTCTTCTGTCCAATTCTCTCTGTGGTATCTCATCCCATTCAAACAACAAATTCGTCACACTAAAAGATCCATAATATCTGGGGTCGGTGTTGCACCCGACATGAAAAGTTGTATCCTTTATTTTGTCAATAACGGGGTACACCACAGCCTGTCGGTTCTGTGCTATTCTTATCAGCATTGGTTCTACCCAACCTGAGGAAATACATTTATGTTAGACATTTGTGCTACAGGTCACTAACATAACGTCAAATATAGCTGATAGAGGAACTTGACTTCTCTAAGGCTACCTTGCACCTCACTGTCCAGCAAGGGCCACGAGCAATTTTCCCTTAAAGCTGCGCCGCTGCGCGACCGCGCAGCTATCGCAGAGACGCCGCGCAGCAGTTTTGAGTATCTTCCATGTAAGTGTGTGTTTGTGGGCTGTACAATTTTGCACACAAAAATTGATCCTGTAAAACATTTCACACAACTGTATGATTTTGCACACGAACCAACAAACCTTAGAAGGAACATTGGCCGCGAGGTGGGGGGGGGGAGAAGGACAAGAACATCCCCACACGCCCAGCACCAGAATGACAGAGACATCAAACGTAAGCGGAACTTTCCCTTTTATTTTTCCTAAATGGATACTCTTAATTAATGGATAGTAGAGACCGACCGAATTTCGGCTTCGGTTTCGGCGCCGAAAGTTGCCATTTGATCACTTTCGGCATAGTTTCGGTTTCGGTCAAAACAGAAAAGTTAACTTTCGGTTTAGTTTCGGACGAAATAGAAAAGTTAAGTTTCGTGTTATTTTCGGTTGCGGCCGACAGGGATTGAGACTTTCGGCCGTCTGGCCGGAAGTTATTGAGGCATTCGGTCTTCTGCCAGATGTCACATTGTCCCTCCCTGCCTGTCCGCCGGCAATCCGCTATCCGTCGTATGATACATAGGAAATCCTCTGCGGACACCATTCACTGTTGCACGATGACTTGCTTGTCCCATATTTCCAAAAAAACTTACATTTCATTAAGGCAAAGGGAAGGGAAAATAGTTTTGTGGAAAAAACAGAACTAGGTGAAATGGTAATATTTAGATTATTATTTTTGTTATGATTTAAAACAAAAATTGGGAACGTTTTTTCTTCTTCAAGTCATTCATTTAAGAACTACATTTGGATTTATGATTATCTTGCTCATACATGTTGTCACAGTCAACGTTGCCAAAGTGTCCTCGTTTTATAGCCATTTTAATTGTTTCTATAGTATAGTAGTTACTATCCTAGTGTCTCATTTTTATTTTAGTTAGTTTACATGTTTTTAATAATTGTAAAGCGCTTAGAGCTTTAAGGTAAGCACTATATAAAAATGCCTGAATAAATAAATAAATAAATACATAAATAAATAAATAAATAAATAAATAAATAAATAAATAAATAAATAAATAAATAAATAAATAAATAAATAAATAAATAAATAAATGGTAATGTGAACAATAAATCTCAAGGAACGGTAACATTTCCTTTGTAATTTTTTAAAATTATTCGCTTCAACTATGTATAAATATGTATTAATATGTATTAATAAAAATAGAATTACTTTGATGTTGTTGAGTCTTATTTATTTAATATTTTTTAACAATCATTTTAGCCTAATTTATATTTTTCTGAATTTTAAGCAAGTCGTTGATTGTTACATCCATAATTTTACAATTCATTACATTATAAGTACCGATATGGCATCCTTCCGTCTTCATGAGACGATGGAGTAGCTATATAGTTCTACACTTTGACGAGTGGCTCACTAGGCCAATCCTTAAATGGCAATCACGGCCGCATCTCTCGCAGGAGAATATTGAATCCCGGTAAATTCTTGATTTCCGAATTGTTCTTTTTGATTCAAGGGCCTCGTTTCGAGTATCTTCTGCCTTTTTTACTCCTTCAAACACTGCTGTTCGCCAGTTGGAGCGATGCTCGGGAATGAACTCCCATTCGTTTGTTTCAATATTGGCTTCCCTCATCCTTCGTTTGCAAACGTCAATAAATCTCAGGCGTGGTCGTCCAATATGTCTTGTCCCTTCTGCCAACTCTCCATACAGCAGTATCTTTGGGGTACGTCCTTCCTCCATTCTCCGTACATGATCTAATCAGTGAAGGCGCCTCTTGATAAGTAAGGAGAATATGCTAAACATGTGTGCACGTTCCAAGACCTCCACGTTAGGCGCCCTGTCCTCCACGTTAGGCGCCCTGTCCTGCCAACGAATGCGTAAAATGCGACGTAGACATCTTTGATGGAAGCTGTTGAGTTTCCGCTCCTGGCTGGTGTATGTGGTCCACACTTTGCTACCATATAGGAACGTGCTTAGCACACATGCCTGATAGACACTTATTTTTGTTTTATCAATTAGATTGAGATTATTCCACACCCGCTTATTCAGTTTAGCAATAGTTGCTGCTGCTTTTGCAATCCTGATATTGATCTCTTCATCAACGGAGAGAGAACTAGAAATATTGGATCCCAGGTATGTGAAATGATCAACAACCGAAAGATTATGACCCTCAATAGATATGATTGGAGGGGACGGTGCTTCTTGCATCATGACATGTGTTTTCTGTAGACTAATCGAAAGTCCAAACTCTTTACAAGCGTGTGATAGACGATTAACCAGCCCCTGCAGACCTTCTTCTGTGTGAGATGTTAAGACGGCATCGTCAGCGAACAGCAGTTCACGAATATAAACAAAGGATTATAATAATAATAATAATAATAATAAGAGGTCTTATATAGCGCGGTACCCCAGCCTAGGGCTGGGCTCACCGCGCTATACATAAAATTTTTATCAAAAGAGACATAATCATAACATTATAGCCTAGGGCAGCGGTTCTCAACCTGTGGGTCGCGACCCCTTGGGGGTTGCACGACCCTTTCCCAGGGGTCGCCTAATACCATCTGAAAATACCTATGGTCTAAAGCTATGAAATAGCCACGAAAATAATTTTGCGGCTGGGGGTCGCCACAACATGATGAACTGTTTAAAAGGGTCGCGGCATTAGGAAGGTTGAGAACCACTGGCCTAGGGCCTATAGAATACTAAACAAAAGTAGTCCCTAAGAATAAAAGTAAAAATAAATACACAGATTAAGTAGGCAAAGAATTAAATATTAAAATAACTTAGCAACTAATTACAATTTATTATTAAATAGATTTTTGAAAAAGTACTAACTTAAACAAGGCATTTCGTGAGTTGTAGTAATACTAATATAGTAGTATTAGCTTATTAGACTGTATAGTATAAACCTACTATGACTAGTCTGTTATATTTTTGGCCTAAAACTACTAGTTATAGTAGGTGGAAGCAAGCTTAAATTCAATTTTTTTTAATAGCACTAATTTCTGTATTCTAGAATCATATTAAAAAAAAAAAAAAAAAAAAAAAATGATTAGATTTATTCATATATTTAAATGTCACAGGCGAAGTGTGTAATCCAACCATTTTATAGAATGCCTTATAGTCAAAGTGTGAAATGCATAAACCTTTCTACACTTTGGCTAGGCATTCTATACAATGGCTCGATTACACAATTAGACTATAAACATTAGATTACAGAATATTAATCCTCTCATATGGTTTGTTATTGAGAGCCGTTCACGGTGAAGATACAAAAATTTCGCACATTTTTTTTGGTCACGCCCGGTGATGTGTGTGTGTGTGTGTGTGACGACAAGCTAAAAGTGCTAACATTGACTAACATCCAAGGGAGAATGGGATATTGACTATTTTAAAGTTAATCCCGACCCAAGACGGATGGTAAACAAGGATATTTAGGTCTCAATAAGTTCGGTTGGCTTAAAAAAAAGAATTAAAATGATTTCAACTTACCGATGCTTCAAGGGACATTGCACACAAAAACGTGTGTGTGATTGTGTAAGGGGGGTGGGGTGGAGGTCACTTCCTTGGGTAAATTGTAAGCGTAACTTAAGGCACATAAAAATTACAAGAAAGTTGTTCCGTCATTTTTAGCCGTGCGCAGAACGTGTGCGAAAGCGAGTTTTTTAAAATTTAAATCTTTCAATTTCGACCGAAAGTCTTGTTTAATTTTTGGTTTCTGCTTCTGTTCCGGCCGAAAGTCATTTTTAACTTTCGTTCTGGTTTCGGTTTCTGCCGGTCTCTAATGGATATAATTACTTAATGGATATATTTACTTAATGGATATAATTACTTCTTGTATATATTTTTTTAATGGATATAATTACTTAATGATATAATTATTTAATGGATATAATTACTTAATGTAAATAATTACTTAATGGATATAATTACTTAATGGATATAATTAATTAATGGATAAAATGACATAATGGATACAATTGAGACCCACCACCTTCTGCTGTCACCTCTTAGTGAACGCGGTTCTATAGAGGGATTTCTGGTGGATAAAACGAAACGGCTGTCAGACGACTACCCTTACAGAACAGTGAATGGGATGCACCATTTAATTCAAGTATAATGTCAATGTACCACAAGCCATGAGTCATAGGTCTCAAGTACCTGGGAAGCACTCGATGTGAGCATCCAAAAACACCACCACTGGGGCTGTAGACGCCTCGAATCCCAGAAGTCTTGCTTTGATCAAACCAATCTTCTTCTGAGCTCGAAGTATTTTTACTTTAGGAAATGTGCTGAAGTATTTGTCGAAAGGGGCTCCCAGGTATGCTGTAATGTATGTATTTTTTGGATACAATATAATTTAAAAATGTCACCTGCAAAAAAACTAACTGGATTATCTTAAAGACTTTGGGGCTTCAGTTACAGAAATATTGTAAATTAATGTGAATTTGTGTATGAATAAGTAATTTCACATAATTTCCATAAATTTTTTTTGAAATATTGAGGTTTTTTTGTGGCTAATATTTTCCTAAGGCTGGAAGAGTCCATCCAACAGACCTACTGTTGAGCAATCATCCACAAGTAGGACCTCTCTGAGCAGACGCTCGGGCGTACGAGAGAGAATGCTGTGCACAGTTCTCAGCAGGGTCGTCCAAGGTTCATTGTGGTAAATTATAATGACGCTTACTTCGTCCAGTGTACCAGTGAATGCGGTCAAAACGTTTTGACATCTGCGTTAGAGAAGGTGAGGAGAAGTTAAACGAGAGTAAACAAGTTAAGTGTCAAGATTAAACAAGGTCGGGGTCAAGATTAAACAAATTTATTGTCAAGATTAAACAAGGTCATGGTCAAGATTAAACAAGGTCATGGTCAAGATTAAACAAGGTCAGAGTCAAGATTAAAAAAGGTCAGGGTCAATATTAAATAAATTCAATGTCAAGATTAAACAAGTTAAGTGTCCAGATTAAACAAGGTCAGGGTCAAGATTAAACAAGGTCAGTGACAAGATTAAACAAGGTCATGTTTAGAATTTTTGTTTGTGTAAAAATTATAAAATTTTAAACATTCCATCAAATAAAGCTAGATTAAAGAAAGTAACACAATTTTGAGTGTCTTAGCCAGAACTTTATATAAGTAATTAAGTGTCTTAGCCAGATCTTAATATGAGGAATTAAGTGTTTTAGCCAGATCTTTATATGAGTAATTAAGGAAGTGTCTTAGCCAGATAATTATATGCGTAATCAAGAAAGTGTCTTAGCCAGATCTTTATATGAGTAATCAAGAAAGTGTCTGAGCCAAATCATTATATTAGTAATTTAGGAAGTGTCTTAGCCAGATCATTATATTAGTAATAAAGGTAGTGCCTTAGCCAGATGATTATATTAGTAATAAAGGTAGTGCCTTAGCCAGATCATTATATTAGTAATAAAGGTAGTGCCTTAGCCAGATCATTATATTAGTAATAAAGGCAGTGCCTTAGTCAGATCATTATATTAGTAATAAAAGTAGTGCCTTAGTCAGATCATTATATTAGTAATAAAGGTAGTGCCTTAGTCAGATCATTATATTAGTAATAAAAGTAGTGCCTTAGTCAGATCATTATATTAGTAATAAAGGTAGTGCCTTAGTCAGATCATTATATTAGTAATAAAAGTAGTGCCTTAGCCAGATCATTATATTAGTAATAAAAGTAGTGCCTTAGCCAGATCATTATATTAGTAATAAAAGTAGTGCCTTAGCCAGATCATTATATTAGTAATAAAGGTAGTGCCTTAGCCAGATCATTATATTAGTAATAAAAGTAGTGCCTTAGCCAGATCATTATATTAGTAATAAAGGTAGTGCCTTAGCCAGATCATTATATTAGTAATAAAAGTAGTGCCTTAGTCAGATCATTATATTAGTAATAAAGGTAGTGCCTTAGCCAGATCATTATATTAGTAATAAAGGTAGTGCCTTAGCCAGATCATTATATTAGTAATAAAAGTAGTGCCTTAGCCAGATCATTATATTAGTAATAAAGGTAGTGCCTTAGCCAGATCATTATATTAGTAATTTAGGAAGTGTCTTAGCCAGATCATTATATTAGTAATAAAGGTAGTGCCTTAGTCAGATCATTATATTAGTAATTTAGGAAGTGTCTTAGCCAGATCATTATATTAGTAATAAAGGTAGTGCCTTAGCCAGATCATTATATTAGTAATTAAGGTAGCGCCTTAGCCAGATCATTATATTAGTAATAAAAGTAGTGCCTTAGTCAGATCATTATAATAGTAATTTAGGAAGTGTTTTAGTCAGATCATTATATTAGTAATAAAGGTAGTGCCTTAGTCAGATCATTATATTAGTAATTTAGGAAGTGCCTTATCCAGATCATTATATTAGTAATAAAAGTAGTGCCTTAGCCAGATCATTATATTAGTAATAAAGGTAGTGCCTTAGCCAGATCATTATATTAGTAATAAAAGTAGTGCCTTATCCAGATCATTATATTAGTAATAAAAGTAGTGCCTTATCCTGGTAACGGGAAGTTTCAAAATATGCAGATATTTTTATTTTAGATGATTTATACATAATTTACATCCAACTTTGCAAAATGCGTCATACAAAAATACGAGTTAAACTATTGTACCATTGATCATCTCTTTAAAAAGAGAAAATAATTCTACTCAACCTACTTTTAGTCCAAAGCAGTCTGTCTGCATACTCACAATAAAACATGATTACCGAATCAGCTTTAATAAAACACATGGCTTTTGATTAGTAGTTTCTTCGGTTGTATGTCCAAAGGACAGATTCTTACTAAAGAAAGTAGGAAGCTTAAAAAAAAAATTGAGTACACTCCTTGAAAAGTCAGAAAATAATCGCTGCTAGAGCATAATAAGAATATAACCATTCCATTACTGGTAAATTATAAGAAACGATATTATAGCCTTGAACTCACGCGGACGTTGTGCAGCTGGGTAAACTCCGATGTATTGAGATTCTTTGACTGGCCAATTCGTTTAAGTTGTGTTTTCCCCACCCTGCACGGAATCGCAGCTTCTCAACTATGGTCAAGTTTTTTTCGTCGATGTCTACACCAGCGCCCCTTTCTCCTGTCGGGACGACACACAATGCGATTAGTAAACGTCCATTTGTGGTTAACACGCTGAAAAAGCCACATGGCACTAACGGTGGTTGATGCCAACAAATGTTTTATATTACACAACAAACTTTCCACCGAGAAGCTGGGGGGTGGGGGTTGGGGTTACTGTGGGGTATTTCGCAGTTTGAGATTTCACTTCATGGCAAGAAATAGATTTTTTTTTTCATGGCAAGAAATATATTTTTTTTTCATGGCAAGAAATGAGATTTGTTTTCATGGCAAGAGATGAGACTTAACTTCATGGCAAGAAATGAGACTTAACTTCATGACAAGAAATGAGACTTAACTTCATGGCAAGAAATGAGACTTAACTTCATGGCAAGAAATGAGACTTAACTTCATGACAAGAGATGAGACTTAACTTCATGGCAAGAAATGAGACTTAACTTCATGACAAGAAATGAGACTTAACTTCATGGCAAGAAATGAGACTTAACTTCATGGCAAGAAATGAGACTTAACTTCATGACAAGAGATGAGACTTAACTTCATGACAAGAAATGAGACTTAACTTCATGGCAAGAAATGAGACTTAACTTCATGGCAAGAAATGAGACTTAACTTCATGGCAAGAAATGAGACTTAACTTCATGGCAAGAAATGAGACTTAACTTCATGACAAGAGATGAGACTTAACTTCATGACAAGAAATGAGACTTAACTTCATGACAAGAAATGAGACTTAACCGCATGGCAAGAAATGAGACTTAACTTTATGGCAAGAAATGAGACTTAACTTAATGGCAAGAAATAAGACTTAAATTCATGGCAAGAAATGAGACTTAACTTCATGGCAAGAAATGAGACTTAACTTTATGGCAAGAAATGAGACTTAACTTCATGGCAAGAAATGAGACTGAAAACTTCGATTGTGAAGACCTCCATGCATTTAAAAGATGAGACTCGCTGAGTTTCAAGAAATGAGACTTCACAATCGAAGTTTTCAGAGACCTCCATGCATTTAAAAGATGAGACTCGCTGAGTTTCAAGAAATGAGACTTTACAGCATTGAAAAAAATGAGACTTTACTGCATTGCAAGAAATGAGATTTCCTGCATGGCGAGAAATAAGACTTCTGTTCATTGCAAAAATGAGACTCACTTCATTGCAAGAAATGAAACTTCACTTCATTGCTTTCAATGAGACTTCAATTCACTGCGAGAAATGAGACTTTACTTCATGTAAAGAAATGAGACTTCACATTTATTGCGAGAAATGTGAATTCACTGCATTGCAAGAAATGAGACTTCTCTACATTTCAAAAAGTAATACTTGCCTTCATTACATCAAATGAGACTCCATTTCACTGCAATAAATTATATTTCACGCCATGGCAAGAAATGATACTTCTCTTCATTGCAATATATGAGACTATACTTCATTGCAAGAAATAAGACTTCACTTCATTGCAAGAAATGAGACTTCTCTTCATTGCAAGAAATGAGACTTCACTTCATTGCAAGAAATGCGACTCCTCTTCATTGCAAATATTGCTAAAAGAAATGGACACACAAAAAAGGTTTGTGTCGTCCACTGTCCTATGGACATTTGTTAAAATCGCGACATTTTGATTAAGAAGAAAGAGTTTTAAGAAAATGGGACAAACATACAAAAACAGGATGTCCCAACATGAACCCGGCAAGTTGTTTTACCAAGCATACAAAGCGATAATTGATTTTTGATTGAATATTACCAACACGAATCTTCTAATGTGGATCTACTTTTAAATGTCTTAAGTCTTTGCTTGTTCATTGACATATATCCACAAATATAACCTTACAAACTTACTTTTTCACAATTATAACGTTACTTATCCACAATCATCTTATACAATCAATTGAAGCAGGTCAGCATATATACATATACATATATAAATATATATATATATATATATAAATATATATATATATATATGTCTATATATATATATAATATATATATATATATATATATATATTATATATATATATATATATATATATAGACTTTTATTATTTGTGTAGAGCAGGGATGGCCAACACGCGGCCCGCCGTGAGTTAAATGAACCTAAATGTTAACTTTATTGTACATATCTCGAAAGGAGCATTACATCATGAGTCATTCGTATCATATATTTTTCAAATTATAGCTAAGAGAAATTTGAAATATCTCGCGTATTTAAAAAAAAAAATTCATTGGTTTTGACCTGTTTAGAATATTCCGCAGTTTCAGGAAAACTCATAGAAATTAAAACGAAGCCTATGTGCTTGACATGCAATGAATCTGTTTCTGTTTTGGTGGTGATGTAACATCAAAGGGCACTACGAGACTAAACATGCAAATAAGTTTGATAAGTACAAAGTGCAATTTGATAAGACCAAGTAAAAGACTTTTAAAAAAATACTGTACAAAAAAAAAGATATTTACTAGAGCGTGTTCAGAGTTAAACTGCTATGTAAAAGATAGTTATGCAGTGGCCTTGATACTAGTAAAAAAAAAACGGAACCATTTTCAGAATGTTAAGGAATGTTTGGAGAGCATTGTTGAAATTCTGTGTCCAAAAAAGAAGAAGGATTTCTAAAAAACTAAGTCTGTCTCCTCAGACTATTACTAGGCGAATGAACAGCATTGGAAAAAAAAATATTAAAGATAATTTAAACTGTCGAGCATCTGAGTTTAAATTGTATGCTCTAGCTTTAGATGAAAGCACAGATGTGGTAGATACTGCCCAACTGAAAGCACAGATATGGCAAATACTGCCCAACTGAAAGCACAGATATGACAGATATTGCCCAACTGAAAGCACAGATATGGCAGATACTGCCCAACTGAAAGCACATATATGGCAGATACTGCCCAACTGAAAGCACAGATATGGCAGATACTGCCCAACTGAAAGCACACATATGGCAGATACTGCCCAACTGAAAGCACAGATGTGGCAGATACTGCCCAACTGAAAGCACAGATGTGGCAGATACTGCCCAACTGAAAGCACAGATATGGCAGATACTGCCCAACTGGCCATTTTCATCAAGTGTGTTGATGTCCATTTTAAAAAGACTGAAGAATTAGCGGCACTGTATCCACTCAAGGACGTTACTATGTCACGAGATTTTTTACATGCAGCTCCATGGACATTGAATCACTATTCACTACAACTTAACAACTTATCGGGCTCAACAACGGATGGTGCTCCACCAGTGGTTGGGAAACATGAAGGAATAATAAAATTGATTGAAAATAAGGCCTCCAAAGCCGGTAATATTTCAATGCTAAAGTTTCATTACATTATTCATCAGGAGAATTTATGTTCGAAGTCCCTCAAAATGGACCATGTCATGAAAGTGGTCATCAAACTAGTTATCTTCATTAAGTTGAACGGGTTGAATCACCATCAGCTCCAAGAATTTCTACTAAAGTCTTTGGACTCATAATAAAATGACGTCACATTTTAAGAAGAAAGATGGCTCAATGTTGTGCCAAAATGTTGTAAAGAGCGTATGATTTGCAGTAAGAAATGAAATCATTATTTGCGAGCAAGTCAATAATTATCCCAGAGTTTGAAGCTCAAGAGTGGGGTTGTGACTCTGCATTTCTGGTCGACGCAACTAACCACCTAAATAGCGTTAATATTCGGCTACAAGGGAAAGATCAATTAATTAATAAGATGTATGATCATATTCTGAATTTCAAATGAGACTTCATCTTCGGGAACAACAGTCATTTCAACCAGATGTCACACAAGAGGCGGCGGGTAAGTACGCTTCTTTGATAGCCGAATTAAACCTCGAATTTGAAAACCGATTTTAGTATTAAAAGAACAACACCATCATGAGCTTCTTTTCGTGCATTTGCAACGCCATTCGCGGAAGACGTGCGTTTATTGCCAGGAAGATTACGAATGAAACCTTGTCAAATTTGTTGTGTTGCACAGTTAAAGGAGAAGTTCCATCTGGTCGGTTTGGAAGAAGTCTATGAAACGTATTTGGACAAGGGTCAATATCCCGCGTTTTACAAACTTGGTCTGTCGGTGGTTTCGCTATTTGGAAACACTTTTGCGTGTGAACAGCTGTTGAGTCGTGCGAAGCACATCAAGTGACACGTGAGAACACGAATTACTGATGTCCATGTGGAAAACAGTCGAGATCAATTTTGATGCACTTAGTTCCGACAAAAACAAAGTCACACTTTTAAATATTTTAAAATTGTCGAATAAATATGTTGGACTCTCGGTTATGTTTTGTATTTTCTTTAAAAAAAAATAAAAAAATACATATTTCTTTTTTTTTTTTTTTACATTAAACCAGGCAAACGTTTGACCTCGATCTCCCCTACTGGGAATAGACGATATGGTCGACGTTATAGCACGCTTCTTTGATTACTTTAATAAACACCAAACAATTAGGTGTAATTGCCCGGCAGGAAATATTATGAAATATGGCCCGCCTGCTGAAATGTTTGGCCACCCCCGGTGTAGAGAATGATGTAGCCCAGTAATTCCCAAAATATTTCGAAATTTCTTGAATCAGATTGTTCCGAGGCACCCTATGTTAAATTCTAACAAATAAACAGCAAATACCCAACATTTATCAAGGGTTAGTCAGAGACTTCTGCATCAAGGGTTAGTCAGTGACTTCTGCATCAAGGGTTAGCCATAGACTTCTGCATCAAAGGGTTAGACAGAGACTTCTGCATCAAGGGTTAGTCAGAGACTTCTGCATCATGGGTTAGTCAGAGACTTCTGCATCATGGGTTAGTCAGAGACTTCTGCATCAAAGGTTAGACATAGACTTCTGCATCAAAGGGTTAGACAGAGACTTCTGCATCAATGGGTTAGTCAGAGACTTCTGCATCAAGGGTTAGTCAGTGACTTCTGCATCAAGAGTTAGTCATAGACTTCTGCATCAAAGGGTTAGACAGAGACTTCTGCATCAAGGGTTAGTCAGAGACTTCTGCATCATGGGTTAGTCAGAGACTTCTGCATCATGGGTTAGTCAGAGACTTCTGCATCAAGGGTTAGTCAGAGACTTCTGCATCAAGAGTTAGTCAGAGACATCTGCGTCATGGGTTATTCAGAGACTTCTGCATCAAGGGTTAGACAGAGACTTCTGCATCATGGGTTAGCCAGACACACCTGCATCAAGGGTTAGCCAGACACACCTGCATCAAGGGTTAGTAAGAGAAATCTGCATCAAGGGTTAGCCAGACACACCTGCATCAAGGGTTAGTCAGAGACATCTGCATCAAGGGTTAGTCAGAGAATTCTGCATCAATGGTTAGACAGAGACTTCTGCATCAAGGGTTAGTCAGAGAATTCTACATCAAGGGTTAGTCAGAGACTTCTGCATCAAGGGTTAGACAGAGACTTCTGAATCAAGGTTTAATCAGAGACTTCTGCATCAAGGGTTAGACAGAGACATCTGCATCAAGGGTTTGTAAGAGACATCTGCATCAAGGGTTAGTCAGAGACATCTGCATTAAGGCTTAGACAGAGACTTCTGCATCAAGGGTTAGTCAAAGACTTCTGCATCAAGGGTTAGACAGAGACTTCTGTATCAAGGGTTAGACAGAGACTTCTGCATCAAGGGTTAGACAGAGACTTCTGCATCAAGGGTTAGACAGAGACTTCTGCATCAATATTAAGTCAGAGATTTTTGCATCAAAGGTTAGACATAGACTTCTGCATCAAGGGTTAGACAGACTTCTGCATCAAGGGTTAGTCAGAGACATCTGCATCAAGTGTAAGCCAGACACGTCTGCATCAAGGGTTAGCCAGACACACATGCATCAAGGGTTAGTCAGAGACTTCTGCATCAAGGGTTAGTCAAATACTTCTGCATCAAGGGTTAGTCAGAGGCTTCTGCATCAAGGGTTAGAAAGAGACTTCTGCATCAAGGGTTAGTCAGAGACTTCTTCATCAAGGGTTAGTCACGTGTATTGTAGTTTTGGTACTAGTTATAGTAGTTGGAAGCAAGGTTAAATTATAATTTTGGTATAGGAATGAGACTTCTGCATCAAGGATTAGTCAGAGACATCTACAACAAGGGTAAGCCAGACACGTCTGCATCAAGGGTTAGCCAGACACACCTGCATCAAGGGTTAGCTAGATGCTTCTGCATCAAGAGTTGATCAGAGACTTCTGCATCAAGGGTTAGCTAGATGCTTCTGCATCAAGAGTTGATCAGAGACTTCTGCATCAAGGGTTATTAAGAGACTTCTGCATCAAGGGTTAGCCAGACACTTCTGCAAACAGTTCTGACTAAGCGAGGTACTGGTTTCCACCGCGTCCAATTAAGGACACTTCCAATTACAGTGAACATAAAGTAAAATTGTGCAAATTTTGTACTAATTCGCGGCCCAATTGTTAGGCAGCCAAGTTCCCCATGAAGGCTCCGCGTTGCACATTTTGGGAATTTCTGGTGTAGCCATCTTGTGACGTTTACCATAGATTTAAAGTGGATGCCAATGATAATGGATTCGTAGATTTCACCTACCTGGTCCGTTGGGATCATGGCTGTCGACGAAGGGAGGGAACACAATCTCGGCTAATGAGAGAAATGAAAAAAAAACCTCCATGTCAATCAATGTTAATAAGCCAGTGAATACATTCAATGTTTGATGTTGGTCGTTACATTCATCCTTCATTATAAAATTATTTAATGGACAGGAACATCCATATTAAGCCGATATTAAGGCCATGTGATAAAATGTTCATTTTTAGAAATAAAAAAAGGAATTTTTATCTTCATCATTTTTATTTAATTTTATTTTGTTATAAAATATAAAATATTAAATTTTTAAAAATTGAATGAGATACGGACAGCGTTATATATTTATCAGTTTACTTCCAGGGCACTGAACTGCAGACGACTTGATGGCTTCTGTGTTTATTTTTTAAGATCGTGTTATATTTTATTATTATTATTTGATAAAAAAAATATTTTTATTTATTTGATTTTTTTTTGCTGGGGAGGAGAGAGTTAAATGTGTAAATTGTGCTTTTGAGAGATCCATCCATCCATGTGGCGCTACAGCCATGTAGGGCTTTAGCCTGCCTCTCTACTTCCTTCCTCTCAGACCTAACTAATGATTATCTTTTCCTCGCTTGGATTCCCGGTTACTGCATATCTTTTTCCACATCACCCATTCATCGAAGCCTAGGTCCGCCTTTGAGCCGCTTTCTTCTGGGGTTTTGGTGGTGTACCCTCTTCACTCCTCTGTCGTTTGGCATTCTTTTCTTTCTACGTGTCATGCCCAGCATAGCCTACCCTTTATTATTTCTGCTACTAGCGTGGAACTTTGAAGGAATACTCCTGTGTTTTTATCTTGAGTATCAGCGTTTAAAGGGGAATTTTTAACATCGTAGGCGTAAACCTTCACATGTTAACAAGCGACGTCTTGCAATCAAAGGATCCGCCATCTTGTCCGCCATTTATTGTAATAACGGCAAAACCAAAATAACCAACCATAGACAAGTCGAATACACACTTTATGAGTATGCATGATCTGGTAAGAAATTGGAGAATTCTTCTGATCACACAGACATTCCCCAAACGTCTTGCAGGCTTGCTACAGAACACTTTTAGTAAACAAACAAAATCTCAGATTAGAGACCGACCGAATTTCGGCTTCGGATTCGACGCCGAAAGTTGCCATTTGATCACTTTCGGCGTAGTTTCTGTTTCGGTTTCGGCCGAAACAGAAAAGTTAGCTTTCGGTTTATTATCGGTTTCGGTTAAAATAGAAAAAAAGTTAACTTTCGGTTTATTTTGGGTTTCGCATGAGAGTGATTGAGGCCTTCAGTTTTGTTGACCAGATGTCACATTGTCACCCTGTCTGTGGGCCAGCAATCCAATAATCATTATTTGCTCGACGTCTTTTTTTTTGTCATCTTATGATATATAACAAAGCCTCCACGAACACTGCTCACAGCTGCATGATGACCTACGTGTCAAATATTTCCAAAAAATGAAATGTCAATAAAAGGAAGGGTAAAGTCAAACAGTTTTGTGTAAATAAAACAGAAACTAGGGGAAGGGTAATATTTATATTATAATTTTTGTTTTATTAAAAAAAAAAAAATTACAAATTGGGAACCCCAGGTTTTGGTGTATCACTATCTTGTTATGGTCAAAGGTAATTAGTATTGTGCATAAAAATCTTAAGGAATGGTAACATTTTCTTTATTATTTTTAAAATTATTCTTTAATTCTTTTAAATTGGGGATCCCTAGGCTAATTCAGTTAATTAATTCATTGACATTCCTTAACATGTTCATAAATGGCTGTATAATATAAACCTACTATAAATATTTTTTGATATTGTAGGACTGGTACTTGTTATAGTAGTTGGAAGCAAGCTTAAATTATAATTTTGGTATAGGGATGAGTTCTGTCGTCTCAAATTACATTACAACAAACAAAATATTATTAGATTTATTCCTATATTTAAATGCTAAATGCGAAGTGTGTAACCCAGCCATTCTATTGAATGCCGTTGAATGCCCAGTCCAGGTATAAAATAGATAAGCCATTCTACACTTTGTCCAGGCATTCTATAGAACCGCTGGATGCCACACTTAGGTTGCAACATGAAGATTACAGAGTATAAATCCTCTCATACCGAGCCGTTCAAAGTGAAGATTCAAAATTTGTTAAAATGTATTTGTCCAGCCCGGTGATATGTGTTGTGTGTGTGTGTGGGTGTTTGATGACAAGCTAAAAGGGCTAAAATTCAATGGAAAAATGGTAAATTGTCCATTTCAAAGTTAACCTGAATCCAATTTGGATAATTAGGTCCCAAAAAGCTAGGTAGGCTAGAGAAGTAATTAAAAAGTTTATAGCTTACCGATGCTTAAGGGAACCCTGCATAAGCCCTTCCTTGGATCAATAGTTTGAGAGTCACTTCAGTTTAATATAAATAGCCACACCATGTGTTAAGCCATTTTTCACAGCACGCTGATCGTTTGCGAAAACGAATTTTGAAGTATTTGAATCTTTAGGTTTCAGTTTTCGCTGAAAGTCTCGTTAAGCTTTTGGTTTCAGCTTCGGTTCGGCCGAAAATCATCTTTAACTTTCAGTCTATTTTCGGTTTCGGCCGAAATCTTAAAATCTCTTTCGGTCGATTTCTAACTCAGACAAAGACTTCCAAGACTAAAAACAATAAGTGAAATGTCGTAAAAACAACATGTGCAATGAAGTAAAAACAATATGTCTATTGTAGTAAAAACAAATTACCATTTATTTGGATCATTAAAAGCGTCTTATCTCATTTTATCTTATCTTATCTTATCTTATCCAACTTGTTCCACAGCCTTTCTTATAATTGCGTTTTTATTTTCTTTAAATATACTACATTTACATTCTCTTTTTAATCTCAGAATAATAAATAAACTGCACCACCTATTTGCATGCCTTTAAAAAAAAAATATTGATGAAAATCTGTTCGTAAGCTTTAGAAATAAGTAGAATAAAATAAACTTTATTCCAATAACATTTTTTTTTGTGGTTCAAGTTTTAGAAAAAAAAAGATCTTTTTTTTTTTTTTTTTCCAAATCATCATTAAATTTTTAAAAATTTGAAATCGTTTTTAAAAAAAACGGCTGCCCTGGCATCTGTTGGGAGCTGTTAGAGTAGCAACATCGCGTCCCCAACCGTTGCACAGATGCCAGTATATGGATGCAGCAACGAGCACTACCAGATCCAGACAAATGTTAAAGTCGATAGAAGCGACTAATTTATCCCATGAATGTATTAATAGTTTGAAATGCCAAATAAATATTCAATTAAACTAAATATTGTGAAATTTATAATTTATTTGTTGAAGATTTCCCTCAGATAAGATCAAAACAATGATTAAAATATGATTTATTTTTGTAAATGTCTGATTTCTTCTTAACAAAATAATGACATTCTGATACGATTTATAAAAATGGTAAACGCTGTTCTACCTCTCTCTAACTCTATTCTTTCTCTCTCTCCCTACTCTCTCCCCCTTCCCCCTCTCTCTAACTCTCTTCTTCCTCTCTCTCCCTACTCTCTCCCCCTCCCCCCTCTCCCTACCCCTCAACTCCCACTCTCCCCCTCTCTCCCCCTCCCCCCTCTCTCTCTCTCTCTTCTTCCTCTCTCTCCCTCCTCTCTCCCCCTCCCCTCTCTCTATCTCTCATCTCCCCCTCTCTCTCTCTCTCCCTACTCTCTCTCCCCCCCCCTCTCTCTAACTCTCTTCTTCCTATCTCTCCCTACTCTCCCCCCTCTCTCTCTATCTTTCTCCTCCATGGCACATCTTCTGGTGTGCAGACCTATAGACGTTTGTTACAATTTGTAAAATCATGGACGGGGAGTACGTGTTTTTTAAACTTGAAAACAGAGTGCAGTATGCAAGCATTCAAGCCTCACGAACACCGTAGCAAACACAATACCATCTTACTCGGTGTCACCAGCTGTAGCACTTTAGCCGTCTGAAGTATGGATAATTCCGACACATTTCAAAATGGTCGATTTTATGCAAAGCAATTTAAAGTTGCATAAATATTTCTCCTTATGAGTTTTATCACCGACACCAGGCAGAAATGAGAGCTTTCTTTTACAATATGCATTTTACCACATTATATGGCAAAAATATATAAACTATAAACTTGACATGGTGTGTATATATGACTTCTCATTAGTACTTAATATACTATTTTACTTAATAACTATTTTACACCAAAATTGAATAATTTAATGGAATTTATGAGTTAAACGTGGTTATAATTTGAGAATTGTAGATATATTTGTATCTAATCCCGAATGTTAGCGTGCATGTTCCCGACAGTCTTACAGTCTCTACCCCCACCAGTCTTATGGTCTCAAGTACCCAGCAGTTTAATGTGCTCTAGTACCCAGCAGTGTTATGGTCTCTAGTACCCGACAGTATTATGGTCTCTAATACTCAGCAGTCTTATGGTCTCTAATACCCAGCAGTCTTATGTGTTCTAATACCCAGCAGTCTTATGTGTTCTAATACCCAGCAGTCTTATGGTCTCTAGTATCCGACAGTCTTATGGTCTCTAATACTCCGCAGTCTTATGGTCTCTAATACACAGCAGTATTATGGTCTCTAGTACCCGACAGTATTATGGTCTCTAATACCCAGCAGTCTTATGGTCTCAAGTACCCAGCAATCTGATGCTCTCCAGTAACCATTAGCTTTTTTTCTAGTACCATTCAGTCCTGTGGTCCCCACTTCTCAGCATTCACATGATATCTAGATCCCATCAGACTTATGGTCAGCAATAACTTGCACAATCTGAAGCGTATTATTGTCACCCTTAACTCATTTCTGTCTTCTTCTTCTTTACGTTGAGGGCCCACGATCAATGTATTGATCATTATGGCTCTTATGTTTCAGGCGGTTTCGCGATGCAACTGTGCATGGTGGTGAAGAGCATACTTCACTGGTCGCAAGGACTTCTCGGCGATGACAGAATCAACAAGGGGTTTTGAAGACAGGAGGCAATAGACGCAAAGGTGTCAAGTGTAGTCACCTCATCTGTTGCTTTTGGAAGCTTTTTTCCAGTCCCTTATTGTCCTTGGCAGGAATGAGGAGCTCCTGTACCAAGTTCTTGAGGTGGAACTGCCTGTCATGACCTCGTCGGTGTCTGGGGGGGGGAGCTTCAATTTAATCCTGGACCAGTGGACCACCTATTTCCATACCTCTAGCTTGTTTAAAGTCAAACCCAACATTTCCCATACAATTATAATTAAATAACGTCAATTACGTAATCCTATAAACTCAACCATCTATTACATAATAATATAAACTCAACCATCTATTACCATAACCGTATAAATTCAACCGTGGTTGTTCAATTTTGACGTAGTCTACCGCACTCACCTGCAACTAAGTTTTGACCGTGTAAGAACGTTGAGTCGTTGTTCTGGTCAGCTCGACCAACGTCTCCATGAATTAAACCACTCTTCAGCACCCTGAGCATCGGCCGGAGACCCGACGATGCCTGCTTCAAAGCCGGGTCATCACGTGACTTCCACTTGTCAAAGTAAACAAGGAACCAGATGACGGAGCTAACAAAGCCACAACTAACGATAAGAGATCCTGGCCTCTTCACACGGCGAGCAATAAAGTTGAACCGACAATATTTCATTTTTATCTTCCTAATCATCTTTTCACACACTGAATGTCAATTCAAGATGGATTTGAAATGTATACGTTCCAGGGAGCTGTTCAAGGAAAGCTCTGAAGAGTTATGCGCCATGTTGACCGATGAAATATTTGGTGGTTTTGAATTTCAACAGCAACAGCACATGGCGCAAAATCTGGCGATCAATGAAACGCATAGAATAAGGAAAATAGTATCCAGATGTGACGAATTATGTGTGTATCACAAGAGCTAAGTTAACGTGATAGGTGTGTCTTCTGCTATAAGAGGCTAACGTGGTAGGTGTGTCCTCTGCTATATCAATATCGTCCCAACTTTTGATGAGATACAGACAGTGATCCGCCAACTGTCCAATCGCAAAGTACCTGACCCCGACATGATTCCTGCCGAAGGAGGGTGGACCAGCGCTGACGGATAAGCTATTGAGTTTATTCCAAATCATCTGGCAGACGGAAACTGTACCACACGACCTCAATGATTCCTCAATTATCCACCTGTACAAACACAAAGGAAACCGCCAGGCATGCGACAATCACCGCGGAATTTCACTACTGTCCATTGCAGGCAACATCTTGGCCCGAGCCCTTCTGAACCGCCTGAATGCACATCTGGAGCTAGGTCTCCTACCCGAAAGTCAATGCGGTTTCCGCAAAAACGCGGAACCATCGATATGGTGTTTGCTGCTAGACAGCTTCAAGAGAAATGCCTGGAACAAAATACAGACCTATATTCTACATTTATCGACTTGAATAAGGCCTTTGACAGGGTCAATAGAGGTGGCTTGCGGAAAATCATGAAGAAATACGGATGCCCAGACAAGTTCACCAACATCATCCGTCAGCTGCATGATAGTATGATGGCCCGAGTGCAGGACAACGGTCAATCATCTCAAGCATTCCCCGTCACAAACGGTGTAACGCAAGGTTGTGTACTTGCTCCCACACTCTTCAGTATTATGTATTCTGCAATGCTGTCTGATACGTTTAAGGACTCCACCTCGGGCTTGCCAATCCAGTTTCGTACTGATGGATCCGTATTTAACCTTAGGAGGCTTCAAGCTAAAACATATCACGACCAATGAACTTCTCTTTGCAGACGATTGTGCCCTCAACGCTTCCCCAGAAGCCGTCATACAACACAGCGTTGATATCTTCTCTGAGGCCTGCAATAACTTTGGCCTCACAATCAACACAAAGAAGACTGAGGTGATGTATCAGCCAGCTCCCAGTAAGCCCTATGTTGAACCCAACATCATCATCAGTGGACAGCGTCTCAACCCGGTGGATAAATTTACTTACTTGGGCAGCACCCTCTCTAGATCTGTTGTCATGGATGATGAAATGAATGGCAGACTCGCAAAAGCAAGTGCCCTATTTGGCAGTCTCCGCAGCACTGTTTGGGACAGGAGAGGTATCAGACGAGAAACAAAGCTCGAGGTCTATAGCACATCAGTCATCCCGACACTGCTCTATGGATGTGAAACGTGGACAGTCTACCAGCGTCAGGCCAAGAAACTGAATCATTTTCACACTCCCTGTCTCAGGAAAATCCTCGACATCAGGTGGCAAGACAAAGTCCCCGATACCGAGGTCCTCGCTAGAGCGAACCTACCTAGTATCTTCACCACTCTGATGGAGTCTCAGCTCCTTTGGATGTGACACGTAGCCCGTATGGCAGACCACCGGCTCCCAAAACAATTATTCTTCGGAGAACTTACGATAGGCAAGCGCTCCGAAGGAAGTAAAAAAAAGCGTTATAAAGACTCACTGAAAGTGGCACTAAAGGCCTTCAGCATAAACCCTACTCAATGGGTGCAGACAGCCCAGGACAGAGCCAGGTGCAGAGCTGCTGTCAAGAAGGGGGCTAAATCCCATGAAGCTAATAAAATAACCACAGCTGAGACACGCAGGCTTGTCCGAAAAAGCAACATTAGGTCACTGTCTGAAGCAACTATTCCATGCCCACGGTGTCATAGATTATTCCGAGCAAGGATCGGTCTAGCAGGCCACATACGAGCTCACCGTAATCCCAACCTCCCCCTAACAGGATGACTCGATGGTCCTGGTCGACTTCGACGGACGAACAACAACAAGCAATATCAATAAGAAGCTACGGTGATAGGTGTTTCGATTGCTATTTAAATAAGAAGCTAACGTGGTAGATGTGTCCTCAGCCATATCAATAAGAAGCTAACGTGGTAGATGTGTCCTCAGCCATATCAATAAGAAGCTAACGTGGTAGATGTGTACTCTGCTATATTAGAAAGAAGCTAACGTGGTATGTGTGTCCTCTTTTAAATCAATAAGAAGCTAAGATGGTGTGTCTACTACTATATAAAAGAGAAGCTGACATGGTAAGTGTGCCTACTGCTATAAGAAGCTAACGTCGTAGGTATGTCCTCTGCTATATCAATAAGAAGCTAAAGTGGTAGATCTGTTCTCTGTTATATCAATAAGAAGCTAAGGTGGTAGGTGTGTCCTCGGCTATATCAATAAGATGCAAAAAGGGGGTTGGTGTGTCCTCTGCTATATCATAATAAGCCAACGTGATAGGTGTGCCTATCGTTATAAGAAGCTAACGTGGTAGGTGTGTCCTCAGCTATATCAACAAGAAGGTAAAGTGTGGTGTGTTCTCTGCTATATCAATAATAAGCTGACGTGGTATGTGTGTCCTCTGCTATAACACTATGAAGCTAACTTGATAGATGTGCCTACTGCGATAATAAGCTAATGTGGTAGGTGTGTCCTCTGCTATATCAATAATAAACTAACTTTCTAGGTGCGTCCTCTGCTATATCAATAAGAAGCTAACGTGGTAGGTGTGTCCTCTGCTATATCAATAAGAAGCTAACTTGCTAGGTGTGTCCTCTGCTATATCAATAAGAAGCTAACTTGCTAGGTGTGTCCTCTGCTATATCAATAAGAAGCTAACGGGGTAGATGTGTCCTCTGCTATATCATAATAAGCCAACGTGATAGGTGTGTCCTCTTTTATATCAATAAGAAGCTAAGATGGTATTTGTGTCCACTGCTTTATCCACTGCTATATCAATAAGAAGTCAACGTTGTTAGTGTGCCCTCTTCTTCATTAAAAAGAAGCTAAGGTGGTAGATGTGTACTCTGCTATATCAATAAGAAGCTAAGGTGGTAGATGTGTCCATTGCAATATCAATAAGAAGCTAACGTGGTAGATGTGTCCATTGCAATATCAATAAGAAGCTAAGGTGGTAGATGTGTCCATTGCAATATCAATAAGAATCTAACGTGGTAGATGTGTCCATTGCAATATCAATAAGAAGCTAACGTGGCAGATGTGTCCATTGCAATATCAATAAGAAGCTAACGTGGTAGATGTGTCCATTGCAATATCAATAAGAAGCTAACGTGGTAGATGTGTCCATTGCAATATCAATAAGAAGCTAACGTGGTAGATGTGTCCATTGCTATATCAATAAGAAGCTAACGTGGTAGATGTGTCCATTGCAATATCAATAAGAAGCTAACGTGGTAGATGTGTCCATTGCTATATCAATAAGAAGCTAACGTGGTAGATGTGTCCATTGCAATATCAATAAGAAGCTAACGTGGTAGATGTGTCCATTGCTATATCAATAAGAAGCTAACGTGGTAGATGTGTCCATTGCAATATCAATAAGAAGCTAACGTGGTAGATGTGTCCATTGCTATATCAATAAGAAGCTAACGTGGTAGATGTGTCCATTGCAATATCAATAAGAAGCTAACGTGGTAGATGTGTCCATTGCTATATCAATAAGAAGCTAACGTGGTAGATGTGTCCATTGCAATATCAATAAGAAGCTAACGTGGTAGATGTGTCCTCTGCAATATCAATAAGAAGCTAACGTGGTAGATGTGTCCATTGCAATATCAATAAGAAGCTAACGTGGTAGATGTGTCCATTGCTATATCAATAAGAAGCTAACGTGGTAGATGTGTCCATTGCAATATCAATAAGAAGCTAACGTGGTAGATGTGTCCATTGCAATATCAATAAGAAGCTAACGTGGTAGATGTGTCCATTGCAATATCAATAAGAAGCTAAAGTAAAGTTTACAGGACCATGCCACACCTAAACAGAAATGTGGTTAAATGGTGGAAATCAAAATGCAAACACCAGAGCCTCATCACCCGTATGAGAACAGAACAGTGTCCTACGTGAACAGATAACATCCTCCTCGGGGGCACGAGCAGCCATCATTGCCGTCAGGTGCTGGAGACAGTAGTGCACTTGTTAGCCCGATACAAATGAGCTGAGGGGTTGGGAACATTCTAAAAATCAGCAGAAGCTTTACGGCTTTAAAATGGACGGCTATGCCCAGCAGATGCGACACGGCTGTAAAGTGCACGGCTATGCCCAGCAGATGCGACACACCTGTAAAGTGCACGGCTATGCCCAGCAGATGCGAGACGCCTGTAAAGTGCACGGCTATGCCCAGCAGATGCGACACGCCTGTAAAGTGCTCCTAGGGGTCGTAAAAAGACAATCTAATAATAACAATATGACCTCTCCCTCACCAGACGCTGCCAAATGATGTTGCTATGGTTACAATATTATCAACACAAACTCTGCTCTAAACGTTGTTTTCAACAAATACTTAATTATACCTTTTATAGACATATCAATAGGAGTACTTGTTTGTTAAGATCAACAGCTTTGAACTGAAGTTTTTCTTTTTCTTTAAAACAAACAAGCGAACAAACTATCGGCTAAGCGTTAGATATCGAATGTGAAGAACACGTTACATTCTTGTTACCGTTCGATTTCCCCCCTAAGACACCCTTTCACCCTTTCACCATCCACATTCTATACTTCATACCTGATGTATTCATTGGTTTCTAGAAAATCGAATCAAGCTGATCAAAATTGTTCAGGAAAAATAAATCATATTTGAGCTACTACGAGTTAGACTAGAAGAGTTTCATTGATGCGTCCCATGGTTTTAAAATCAATGGCGACTCGTCTTAAGTCAATTTGTTACAGTTGTCTGTTCATTCAACCCTGCTAAACAATAATGTTTTGTTGTTTTTGTCACGCCCACTGTTGAGAAGATCAAAAGTATTTATTATGTCTCAGGGATATAAATTCGCGATT